CTTGTGGCCATAGAGCCATAGGACCATGGCATTTCCTTCTGCACAAGCCTTCGCGTTGCAAAACAGCAGTAGCTGTGGGGAATGGGAAAATTTAACCCTTCACAGAGAGGGAGTTAGCAGATGAGGGAGTAAAACCTACTTGCCCCGAGTTGGGGGGGGGGGGGGTGCACTGGGAATCCCACCCCTCCCTCCGTTGCCCGCGGAGCTGAGCTCGCCGTCGAGCCGCCGGAATTTCTTCTGGGGAGGTGTTGATGACAGGCTGCCGTCGTTCCGCACCGGGGCTGGCCCCCGAAGGAGGAGGTAGGAGGAACAGAGGTTTGGTCTTAACACAGATCCGGGGGCTTTGCCATCGCCTTCTTGAAGGGTTTTAACTAGAAAGCTGTATTTGCTGGTTTGGCTGGCGTAGGGAGATTGTGGGCTTTCTCTTTCCTCGGAAAGGATGTGATGAATCTCAGGCTTGCGGCTGCTTTGAGAAAATATTTCGCGCTCAAGAAGCTGTTGGGGTCAGACTTCTGAAGGTGTGTGAAGCATGGGATTGCCAGTCAAGAACCACTCCCAAATTTAATTGACATGAGAGTGTTTCCAGAGAAAATGAGGAACTCAGAGCTGTATCTGTTGAATTTGCTTCTTGGGTTTGTCCAGGTAAGCCTCTGAGCTGGACAGAAAAGAGGGAAAAGGTGCCATATCCATATTGATTTGTTGGTTTGCTGGACATTATTTATTTCCTGAGCCTCGGTAGCATCTCTGCTACTGCTCTGCTTAGTGAGAGCAAACACATCAGGAGACATTTTGAGTAATGGGTTTGAGAAGTAGGTGAGGATAATGTTCGGACCTGTAATTCAAGCTCTTACTGCATAGGTTGCAAAGGATTGGTTGGCTTCTGCACGCACTATGAGGTGGTTCACTCTTCCTTTGTTCAGATCTGTGAAAAAAAAAAAAAAGAAGATATGGATAGTAATGTTATCACTCCTCCAAAAGAGAGGGCTTTTGGAGGGATTGTCTCAGTATTCTCGTTCTCAGGTCTTCACTTAGATAATGTGACTTCCCCTAACTCCATGGAAGTCAATAAGGTTTATATCAGAGCCTTGGCACTCCATAAATGAAATATTAGGAGCAGTGTTTGAAGTTTAAAGCCCTCCCTTCTCCTGCTAGCTCAGATTTTCTGCTGCTGTGCTTTTTTCTTTATGCCTGAGCACCTTGCTGACAAGTGCTAATAACAAAATGCCAAGAGAGGGTCCAGTCGGAGTTACCACACATTAAACATTCTGAACTTGTCCTTTTGCTCATAGATTGTGCATAATTAATAATTAAACGGTTTCAGTTGTAATGGGTTGACCTTCTTGAACTGTTCATTATTCACAAGGCAAAGGCATCACTCAAACTTTTTTTCCTGTTGCCCTTCCCCATTCTCACTGTGTGCGCTCAGTTTGGCTGGTTTTGAGAAATCAGAGGCTGATCTTGTCTTCTGCTGCAGCAGATCCCGGTTACAGAAATGTTGCTTGGATGCTGAGGGAAATAGCCAGTCTTGGAAATAAGCTGCCTGGGGATGTCAGAGGCCAACGATCATTGACCCTTACAACCATTTGTGTCTTTACTGTTATTTTAGCTGCATCCCCAATACATAGGTCTTCATGATATTGGTTAAAAGATACGGTATTTAATGAAAATGAAAGAGCCATTTCCCAGTTTAAAATGAGTATACCTATTCCTAATCCCTTTCAGATCTTGGTTTTCTACTTTTTTTTTGCCTCTATGGTATGCTTTCATTGTGCAGATGGGTAAAATAAGGCAGGCCATCAGAGTGCAGCTGGACCCTTCCCTATGGTTGCATCAGATGTGACTTGCATCACACAGACAGCCTAGACTTGAGAGAGAAATGTGTGGCTTTGCTTTATTTCCTCACATTCCCATCTCCTTGAGCGTCAGCCAAAGTCTGGGCAACTTCAGGAAACAATATAGGATGGAATTACTTTGTGTAGTTTGGGAAATTTTTGCTTTGTAGCCGCTACAACAACATTGCGATTGCTCAAGCTGCAGAGGTAGCAATAGCAGCACTTTCTCACATTAGAAATAGCTCCAACTGCAAAATACTCTCACCTTTCTACTACTCACATGGTCTTGCATAGAACGATATCAGAAATTGAAATATTTCGGTCATCTGTCTCCCTGGACAGATACTGAATGGATGTTTTCTCTTTCTAACTAAGGTAAAATGCAGCATTTGAGGCAGCTTTTCAGTGTTCATCTTTGGAAGCAGTTGAGGATCCACACTGTCCTGGTTCAGCTAAAACCACAACCTGCCGCCTTCTCCCATGTCTTACCTATGCTGTAAAGTTACAATTGGCTCATATTTACAGGAGTGAAATTGGGGTTGTTATCTGCACTGATCTGTTTGCCCTCAAACACATTTCCCAGCAAGTATTTTCTTGAGATTGATGCACTCTCCCAAAAGGCTTGCAGTTTGTCAGACACATAGCCGATAAATTTGTGGGCGCCCAGTCTTAAAATCCTTAAGACTGCATCAACACATCCAGTTTTCATGCTGAGATCCGAGTTGTGTTCATCGCCACCTTCCCTACACCCAATCTCTTCCTGAGCTCCTGAGAGCAAACCAACCCCAGGCATGGCCATGACCTGAGAGGTCTACAGCAGAAGAGGGTTGGGATGGGGTTGAAATATCTGCATTGTCCAGAAAAAAAAAAAAAAAAAAAAAATTTGTACATGTGCTTTCATCCAGGTGAAATTTTCTTGCGTGCTTCTGCAGGAGCACCTTGCCTCCTGGCTGTGCTGCAGGGCAGGAGCTGCAGGGTCGTTACTGACGTTGGAGCAACTTCTTCCCTTGCCTGCAGGAACCCTGATGCCAGCTTGGCCTGGGGATAGCCAGAGCAAAACGCTGGTGGCTGCAGAGCAGTTCATCGGCTCCTCCTCCCCTCTCATAATGAAGTTTCGCTCTGTTATGGGTCCGTCACCTCTTTGTGATTGCAAAAATCATCACCTACCAGATGATCAGCGCGTCCCCAGCAAGGACCGGTCCGAGCTGGCAGCCCCCCTGGAGGGGCTCCCCAGGGAGTGGGCTCCGATGGCTTCGCCCTGGAGTTTGAAAAATGATCTCTACTAGGTGCCCAGAGTATTTCCTACCTGTTCTGCTTTTTGTCCCACCTGGGAAAAACCAGCTTTTTGGCGCTTGAGCTGCAGGCCCAGGGAAGCTCTGCTGGACACGAGAAAGTGGTGGGGAGAGGCAAAACCTGGTGGGCTCCGCGCCGTATAAGCAAGCCTGGCGTTTGGTTGTGCCTTTTCTGTGTTAATACGAACGATGGTCACGCGCAGTTCTTTGAAGTGGAGAAAGTTTAATTGCGCTGCTTATTTCCTTGTGTTCCTTCCACTCTCCGGTGGAAACCTTCCTATATTGATGTCATTTATAAGTTTAGAAACAATAACCTCTCCCTCGCCCGGTCTAAGTTCAAAGAGAATTTGGGCACGTTATATCAAACGCTCCTTGTATTTACTAGAAGTCTTTGAAAATTGTAAAGCAATTTTGGCTTCTCCTTTTACTCTTCAGTTACTTTTGATTTAATTGTATTTTCCAGCAGTTTCCAATTGTTTGAATTGGAAACAAAGCCTTAATAAGAGTTCTAGTTAATTTTCTGTCTTGTAATTACCGATCTCATTTTTCTGATAATTGGCCACAGCAATTATATGTATATTTACTAATCACATAGGAGGCTCTGCAGTTGTGTCTATCTGCCACTATTGATAATGGCACACACATTGCAGAGGTGCTTTTATCATCTTCTTTTTTCCACTACATCAAAGCTATTTCCTCGCATTCTCAATAATGAATACATGCATGCATTTGACACAGTTGTGTGCTAGAGAAATTGTTTGGCTCCCACCAAATGCTGCACGCTCTGAGTTTCTTGCCTGCAGCGCTGGAAGGTTGTATGTAATGATATATTGCTCATCCAAATGGCCAAAGCACTCCAAAGCACAGTGAGATTAAAATAAGTCATTCCTTTGTTAATTTAAATAGGTGCATGTATCATACTTTGCAGGGTACTTTGTGTAGGGATGTCAGGGAGGAAAAAAGCCGCCGAAAGGTATTTTTAATAGCAAATGAGAATAGATGAGAATGGAGTCATTTGCAGCTGCCTGTTTTATGTGGCTCTCTTGTTCCAACTGTAGGTCTAATGAGATGACACTGTTAAAGTACTCTGCAGTGTAATTTCATTACATCCTGAGCTGTTACACTATAAACACAGTGGAGCTCTCTGTCATTCTTGGAAAAACTCCTAAATTCGTAAAGCCCTTCTTTGCAAATGGTGATGTTGTTTGTTCCCTGTTTGTAATCTTTTTTTTCTTGCGCTCTTAATTTTTTTTTTTTTTTTTCCTTTCATAAATACTGGGTGGTTATTTTCTACCACCAGACTGCTAAATCCTGCATTTTTTCCTCTTAAAAATTCTTTCGCCTTTTAAATCTAGAACAGACAGTGTATGAGGACAGCCTCTAAAATGAATAAGTGTAAATAAACATGAGTGTAAATAAATAGCAAATGCAGTGAAAGAAACAAAGGTCAACACAAGAATAATTTCACAGCTCTTTGTTAATTACAAGACCATTTGTGTGTTACTTAAATAATCATTAATTTCTCATTTACACTTTCCCTACCTTCCTTTTTACCCTGTGGCTATCATTGTCCTTTTTTCACCTCCCCTCAGTGTCTTTCCACATGTTTTTACCCATTGTGTAATACTCATTAGTTGAAATTCAGTGTTTTATAACACATTCTCGGAAGAATTTGTACCTTTCTCCCTCAAATTTTCTGTGTGAAAAGGGGGCTTTGTCGCTTCCTTGTTTGTTTTTTTCCTTTTTTTTTTTTGTTTTTGGTTTTGTTTTGTTTTGTTTTGTTGTCGCTGTTCTATTACTCTCCTTCTGAAAAAAAAAAAAAAAAAAATTATCTTCTCTCCCTCTGACTCTGCTTCTTGTTTCAATCCAATCCCAGGAATCGCCCGTCCTTCCAGCCGGGGAGTTCTCTGAGCCATTTGTACACTTCATCACTCAATGGTAAGCTCAGTTTGCAAACATGCCATGCCCTCAATGTAAATGATACATGCCATTAACTCTGCAGCTCTGCGAGACCTTATGGCTTTCCTTGCATCCTTTCTGAGAGAAGAGGGACTTGGGGGCCTTGGGCAGATGGGGCAGCAAAGCTAAGCAAACTGTTTAAATTATGTAAACGTTATTTACACAAAGGGTCGTAAAAGTACTTACAAGGGTTTTTCCTGTTTTAATAAACCTGCCCTGAATGTGGGTGCAGCCTTGTGCGCTGAGACTCCGAAGAATTCATCTGGGGGTAAAGAGGCCACAAAGATTCACGTGTATAATATCATTATTCGGGGCTTTTAAAAATATTACTTATAAAATTGCCTCAATATTTAGAAAGGCAAGCAGCCTTGATTAATTCATTGGCTTTTCAGTAAGTAATTTTTACTGAGGGTCGTATTTTAAAACACACCACTGGGTATATTTTCTTTCCTTAAAACTGAATAGTTCATTGAAAACCTTTTAAATTAAAGAAGGATTGGGGAGAGGAGGAATTTGTAGATGAAAGAATATAGTTCTTGAGTAACTAGAGAATAAAAATCTTGAGGGTAAGCTATCCTAAAGAAACAAAGCAAAGGGAAAAATCTTTTTTTGTCGAATTCCCCCCACCACCACAAAAAAAAAAAAGGGGGGGAGCAAGCATTTGTGTATGATAGAAGAAACAAGCTTGAATTCTGTAATAAAACGATGCATGTGACGGAGAAGCATCCCTTCTGCGAACGTGCACTTCCAGGGCTGGATGCTCAGCTGTGCTAAATCAGATGGAGCCATCTCGGTGTGTGCCACCGCCAGCGTCGGGGCCGCGTCCTCCGCCAAACCCACGGCCCCACGCCAAGCCCACGGCCCCACGCCAAGCCCACAGCCCCACGCCAAGCCCACAGCCCCACGCCAAGCCCACGGCCCCACGCAGATCTATAGGTCGGGCTTTGCAGCGCTCCCAGGTTCTCTGCCCTGTGCCAGGGCCACGGCGGCAAAGGCCGCCTGATAAAATTGAATTTTGAATGCCTAACGTAGGGGAGAGTACCTCTCAGGACTGACGTAGGATGCGACAAATAAATGCAGGCACAAAAAGCAGTCTGATTATCGGTTAATTAAAGTAACTAAATAATTAAAGTTTGTGTAACATAGGCCTCCGTTTTCAATAGTTTCGGTTTACAAAGAGCAGCGCTGTTGGGAGGATTCTGCAGCGCAGCTAACTGATGTGTGTGGAGGTCTACGCTTTATATCCGTGCAAAAAAAAAAAAAATGATGACAGACTGCTTTAAAAAAAAATTCTCATTGAGGGAGAGGGAGGGATAACCTGTGTTAAAATTTCCACAGATGTCAAACTGAAGCATAACTGATGGTGGCTAATAGCCTTGTTTTCCCCGGGGACGCAGCTACTTTGGACTGTCAGATTAGAACTGCTACCAACCTAGTCGTCAGACAGCTTGCATTACTTGCTAATGCCTGCATCATTTGAGGTGCTTGTCGTTATTTGTAGGGAAGGTAAATTGTATCGTTAATACCTCCAATTTACAGCACAGATCCTCTGGTATTTTAGATATAGTGTTATACTGGCTGTACTTTTTAGTGGGAGGCACTACCGTTTCAAAAAAAAAGCAAATAAGAAGAAACTGCATACTATTTAAGCAATCAATTCCTAATAAGTATTAGAGATGTCAAGTGAACGGCGTATCAGACTTTATGACTTTATGCCAATTACGCCATAAACCCTGGCTGTTTGGATGTAATCCAATTAGTCAGTAGGCAGCTCCTGATGGTCACCTCTGTGCCATGTTATTGTGTTCCTTCATGCAGCTAAGCACAGCCTTCAATAGCTAATTGCACCTGTTGCACTGAAAACTAGGACTATTTGGATGAGAAACATGATCTTATAAACAGGTTAATGCTGTGTAATGAACTATCACCCTGCAGTGTAATGGAAATAAATGTGAAAAAATTAAGGTAGAAACCCCAGGGTATTGTGCGTTCTCCTGAAGCTGTTTAGTGTTAGAGTTAAATTTCCCACCTGTTTGTGTAATACTTTGTGTTGAGCTATGTAATAATCTCTAGCAGAATGAGAATCAACTTACTGTGCCTTCCGAGCTGGCTGGTTTTCAGTGATCTCTCTATTCCCACGCTTTCCTGGTTACAAACAGTGTAGACCACTGCATCCCATAAGGGAGGGGAGGAAGAAATCCGTTATCATTTTGGGCACTGGTAGGAGCCCTGTCTCCCATCGGCACGTGGGAAAATTAAGAAATACGTTGAAATTCTTCACTCTGTGTTAAAAGAGGATATCTTCGATGTTTAAGCAAGTGGAATAAATGAGCAGTTGTTTATATATGAACGTTTTGTTTTGTGACACATAGCATGAAAAAGCAACCAAAGGAAAGGCCAGCACCTGAAGATTTAATGGTAAGTGAAACTTCAGAGCCCCTCGGTATGTATTTGTCTGTGAATACTTTATATTCGTGTATAAAGAAGTGTGTCCATTTTTTTCTGCATTTTTCAGTGTGTACAAATTTAAACTCTTTCTGGCTTGGGCTTCAGTTACCTATTTACAGAGAGCCCACAAGCCAAAGGTAGAATTGGGATTCCCCTGAAGTTGATGGGTATTTTTCTGTTACCTCCATCGTGGCCGAAGGTTCACTTCTGATTTGGGGAGTTAATACAGAAAATGCACAGCCAGTATCACGTTTCAATCAAGACCATTTTGATGCTTAATACACAGTTTTTTCCGTTTGTATGTCCAGGGATTACAGTTTAATGTAGGTCACTCTTAGTCGTCATTTGCCAGTCTTAACCTTTCAAAATCTGAAGATTGAAAACAGAAGATGTGGTCAAAATAGTGTCTTTTTAGTGAAATACAGGAGCCACCGTTTTCACTTATATTCATGTAAAATGAAATTAGATTGTCTCCAGAAGATTGAGTTAATATGTAGCTTTGGTCTCTCCGTAGAAGGGCTCTCAGTGGTGGAATCTGAGCTCAGAGACCACTTCTTTTGCTTGCAATTGTCATTTTTTCAGTAAGGCAATAATAGGGTACCTGCTCTCAAGCTGATCCCTTGTGGCTGTGGATTTAGTGCAGAGTGCTGTTTTCACTGGTTTTAAGCAGCTAGAAAAATACTAGATCAAGCAATTATTACAAATATTTACAGTAACTAACACTGTAGATAAGAGTTGTAATCCCCTCTGACTCACATCAAATATCTTTGATTTTTAAATGTTTCATTAGTTCTCTTTATATGCCGTGTTTCCTATAACTTGGAGGCTGATGTAAAATCATCATAATTTATTTTCTGTGCGTTAAATATCTAGGAATAGTTTGAACAGATTTTAACAAGATAAGGGCACGTTTGCGTCGTCTCATTTCTTGCTTACATGCTGCGAACTGCAAGTAGAATAAACAAGTGTTTCTATTGCAGCTATTCTCTAGTTAAAGGCTAATCTCTGAAGATGCCCTGGGGCAGGTATCTCACAATCCAGACTAGTCTCAATTTAGATCCTGGTTAGTAAAGTATTTAACTGTGAATCTAATTTTAAGGATATTAACTTCAATAGATCTACTCTTGAAGTTAGGCACCTGCTTAAATACCTCGGTAAAATGAGGCCTTAAAGTTTATCAGAGCCCTTCCACTTTGTGGTGTTGTGTGTCTCGTACGAAAGGCTTCCACTGCCTTATTTTGTCTTTTTTATTAACTTTTGATGGTTGGAAAATTCTTGCAGTTAGTCACATCTGAGAAAACTTGGAACAGGTTCTAGAGATGTAGACACATTTACCTTGTGCACTATTATGCTATGGCTGGATAGCTTAGCTATTAAAACAACGGAATAGGGTTTCATAAAACCTATATCTGTTTGTAAATGCATGTTTCAGTGATGCAATAGGCCTGCCACTTATAAATAAAACATCTGCAGATCGCACATACCCCCATAAGTATATATGTATGTTTGTAAGCAATAACACCACTCCAGGGTGTAGAGTCATAAAAACAAGGCCAAAGGGTGAGTGCCTGCAGTACCAGGGAAGTGCACAGATTTATCTTTACAACTACATGCCCTGGAGTGTGCTAGTCTCCTTTTAAGGAGGTATTTTGTAAAATAATTCTAAAATTATAGCAGCTCAGGGAAAAAAAAAAAAAAAAAATCCTTCCTACTTTTTAAACAAAATCTTTTGTTTAATGCCTTTTTCCCCTCATGTTACTTTCTACTCAATTATAAATGAACTTGCAACAACAAGTACTAAAGCATGAAGTAGGCTGCTGCTGAAATAAAGAAGTGACCCAGTCCTTGCCTGCGATGTGGCTGACCCTCATAAGCTGCCCTAAATTCCCTCCTCCCGCCTGATGGGCGCAGAGCACCCTGTGCTTTTCTGTCACAGACTCCCTCTTAGCTCAGTAGCTGCTCACCAGTCAAGCCCTTTACATTCTTGCCCTTACCCAGTCTTGTCAAGGAGCACTTCATTTATAAAATTAGCGCAATCTGACTGTGTACACACAACATATCTGTACATATATATGCATGCATGTATATAAATTGCCATGCTTTGTTGGAAAATGGGACCAGAACAAAAGCTGCTAAATATCCTCTGAATTGCAGAGTTGCTCACCACAATATCCTTCTAATTCCACACCATCCATTTCTGAAACCTCTGTGGTAATGCTGGTGGGTGTCTCCCCCTTGTTAACTATCGGAGTGGGCAGAGAGATGCACACACTGTCAGTGAAATCCTGGCCTTGTCAAGGTCAGCTTACCGCCGATTTAAATGAGAACAGGATTTTACCTTGTTCACTGGGGTTTGGGTTTTTTTTTTTTTTATTTATTTAGAAGAAATGTACTAGCAAGGATGAAAGGTGTAACACCTAATCATTGTGAGCTTCAGACAAAACAGTGGCGTGCAGGCTCTCTCCCCTATGGACGTTAACCGTACTGGAAGTCACTATTTTGTAACCAATTTAGTATAATTAAAGACTGAAAGCAAAATGAAGGGAGCAGAACATCAATCTTTTTCTGCTCTCCTGATAATTGGTGAATTGTTAAATGCATTTTAAGAGCCAGCTAACAATACCTGCAGTGCCAGATTGGCAACTCCAGTGAAGCCACGGGGTTACATCAGGGATGCATTTACCCTGTCGATCATGCTAGGAAGCCCTTTTTTATAAAAGTCACTGTGCACATTTTGTCAGAAAATAGGGCCAAAGCCAAGGCTATATGAAATTCCTGTATAAAGTCAGGCTTTCTTGTACCATAGATACTCTTGTGCAAGCGAACACCAAATTTCCGTAACAGCTGGCATAAATCACATTCCTGTATTTAGACTCAGTCACTGTGCCCTTTCTTCTGTGTAGCCATCCCCAAAACAGGATATAACATTGGTTTCTCTGCGTACGCATAATCGTCGATTTAATTGTTTCAAAGTATTTCAAATTAACAGTCTTGTTCCACAGGAGTGAAAAAAAGTAATTTCACCAAGCAGTAAGAAAATAGTCCATCCAGGGAAAGGAACAATCTTTGTAACTCACCGGTGGTTATTTTGAACCTTGTGCTTACAGTGTCTGCTCTTTTGTCTCCAGTTTGTTCCCTCTTAAGAGAAAGACATAGAGTCAATTAAATTGAACATACTCCTGTTTCTGCACCAGGGAAGACTGCACAACATCTTAGCATATTCCTCTGTCTTTCTTCTCTCCCCTTCCAACTAGAAAAGGAAAATCTCCACAATTCTTCTGTATAAAGATTTTTTTTTTTTTTTTTCCTCTGTGAACTTCCTGTTTTCATTTAAAACATGGGAGTTTTCTGGCATCGCAAGCCTGGCTCCCAGGGAAATGCTGGCATACACTTATATTTAGTGAGTGTGATGTGGTGGTACGGATGAGGTTTAAACTCCCGCTCGTGCCGAGTGTATGGGTAGGCATCCGCGGGCTGGTTTGGTTCAGGAAGCTGTAGATCTGACTGTATTTACGGTATTTTTCAGAAGCTTTCCATTCTAAGCTCTATTTAATGGAATCTATGCATAGTAAGTAATCAGGTCAGAGAGAAGCAACATCCCCTGTTTGAGATCAATCGCTGGCTAATACTTTATCTAGGCCACTTTATTATCTCATGCTGATTCCATTCCCATTCTCCTCCTCCTTTGTAGCATGCACTTCAGCTGTGGTAAAAGTACGTATCGCATACATATTAAAAACATATACCCATTCTATCTGTATGTAAATGTGTGAGACACAGCTGGATATTGCAGGAGTTTGATTTACTAATAGTTATTATCTGTTCTAGCTGTTCAGAGGCAAAGAGAGTTTCAGAAAACAAGCTAGCGCAGAAATTGCCTTTATGATATCACTATCCTGCTTTGGTAATTGTTTAAAATCTCTTCTTTAGCTGGAAGCTTGGCCTTTTATTTTGCAGATTGTATGTGCTTTTCAGAAAGCCAGCAGAACTGTTGAAGTCTCTTGTTGAGTTTTTTGTTAGTACAGCATTGAACTCTGCCATGCTACATATGGCTATTTAAATGAAAGCGATTTACTTAAAGAAATTGTATTTGAAATACCAGAAGTCAAGCATGTAGCCGTTATTCCTGTTATGCTTTCCCATGGATGCATAAAAGTACAGTCTTTAAGACGCTGCTTGGATTTCTCAAAGAAAGTGTTGGGGCAGGGAGAGGCAATGTTTTCGGCCAAGGATACAGTCACCTTCTGCACTTGATTGCTTTTGCACAGATCTAATAATTTTTTGTTCACATCTCCAAATTTGAAGCACAATCACTAGCTTGCCTCCTTTTTAAAAATTGAAATTACTGATGCTCTTTATGTTGGTTATTTAGAATTTATTAATTTAGAAGATTGTATGATAAATTGTACATCATCTGTGTCAAAACCAGTGGCCTGCTGGAAAACTTGTACCTTTTTTTTTTTTTTTTTTTTTTTAATTTTAATGCTAAGTGCAATTTTTAGATTTCCTATTCCAATGCGTTCAGCAATCCCCCTTCTCCATTTCAGGAGTGGTGTTTAGACCAGGCAGCCTCATCTCATTAGCTACAACAGGCATTTTTGCAGATAGATTGTTTGTTAGTATATTTAAATGTATCAAGATACTACAGACTCATAAAAATGGCTGCTTCTGACTGGCTGTTCCTCCATCTCCAGCAAGTATAGGAAATTTGAAAAGTGAGGCTTTTAAGTAGCTATATTCTAGAGGGGTCTGGACAATAGCACTTCTTACCAGGTAGTGCTAAACTTGTTGGCAGCTCCTTGTGTTATACCATTGTTTGCAGCTCTTAGGAAATACTTTGATGGTTTAAACAAACAAATGGAGGATCAACATAATCCTACCTGGATTTTCATATAAACCTTCAGAATAAAGCCGGTAAAATACTGCCATTTCCATTTGTCAATAAAAGGGATTTCCCCCAGCAGCTCATT